CTTTTATTTGATTATGCCTATTCAATACTGCACGTGTGCATTTGACTCCTTAATGAACCCATCTTAGGGCACTGCAAGGATCTGGACCAACAGCCTCAGCTCGACTTGGTGCAGCAGTTGTGGTCCTGAGAAAATGTCCTTTCAAACCCTTGTTCCTCATCCAATAAAAGGTAACATAGTACCAACCGTGCCTCACGTACCCCTACATCACCAGGACAGCAGCAGCTCTCCCACCACCATGAATTCATGATATGGTGAGGGTCATAAGCCTCAGTTACATCTTGTGATCCATTTTGGACCAGCGTGGGGAAATTTGCAGCTCAGGGAAGGTAAGTAATGGAGTGGTTTTGGCATCCCAAGATGTGTGAATATGATTTTATGGGAAGAATATTTTGGGTCTTGCTATTTTTGGTGGTTTATCTCCATGCTGCTTAGCTCTGAGCCAAAGGCCACCAGTGAGAGCATCATGATGGTTCACATGACTCCTGATGTTTTGCACTACAGGCAAAGTAAAGGCAGGTCCATTCCTTTCTTTTCTGATCCAGACCCCGAACAATAGCATCTTCTCAGCTATTTCAGCTTTCTCCTTCCCCTGAAACTTGTGGCTTGTCTTGCACCAAAATACCATCTGGGGATAGTACCTTCCAGCCCATCTCTGTTCCATTACCTCAACATGGAAAAGCCATTTCAGGATGGTGATTTCATTATACATCATTGATGGGGGAATAAATTATTGAAACAGATTCATAAAAAATGAAAGACATTTTACACAGAGAAGGAGTCCTGACAGTAACCTAGATATGTCACAAAAACTGATTGCCACCAAACAGGAAAGCCTGCCCCTCGCCAGAGCAAAGAGGGGTAAACTATGAAAGATGCATGAGGGTAGAAGGAGAAATGAAGTGACTGGAATGACAGAGTGGGAGATAAACACATCAAGGTAAAGGAAACAAAAGAGAAAAGACAATGGAGGAAAGGGAAAGTGAATAGAGGTTAAATAATTCAGGTCAGGATTTTTAATAGCCTTGAAGAAACAAGAGAGCATAAGTTATCTAGGAATCATAGGCAGGGGGAAGGGACCCAACCAAGCCCAACATGTTAGTCACAGCATTAAATACAGCTGTTGGATGTTCTGTGCTATTTGGACAGACCTTGGCTGATGTAAATCAGCAAGGAGTCAGTCCAGTTGGGGGTATTTACACCCTTCTGAGGAGGTGGCCCATAAATCAGAAGGGCAAATCCAACAGATGCAATTCCAGCAGTTTTGGGCACTTTACACCATGGATGCTGTTGGCCTCAAATCTGAATTGAATCCCCTCCTCGGTTCTGCCCTGGTCCTCAATGGATCTGTCTGGGAGGTCTCTGCAGCCACCAAGCTCCTTCAGTCACTGCCTCATTAAATGGAAATAACCATCAGATAAGGACTTCTGCAGCATTAATCCGTGTTCATGCTGCCAGTGCCGCTGGTGGGCAAAGCATATTCTGTGAACTTTACACAGCTCCTCAGCCCTGGGCAATGATTTTTGCTGAAAATCAGCAAAAGTCCTCAAAGCTGTGAAGCCCGGGACCTACAAAGGGTGAAATCCAGTCTGAAACACTCTCCTGAACATTTTCCTTTTTTTCCAGTGCTGTTGCTCCTTTTCTCTAGGGGATACATCCTTCCTGAACCAGTTTTATTACCCAGTTCCTGGAAGGGGGAACAGAAAACTTTGCCTCCTACCCCTGTGTCCCTTCATTGCATTTAATTTCTGATCTGGAAATCTTTCTTTCTTTCTTTGCTGTAATTTCTGGTCTCCTGTGTTGCTCCTATTTTAGCCTTGGGTTTGCTTGCCTGGGGGAATCCCTTCTCAAAGCCTTACAGATTTGTACTGCTGCTGATTCAAAGCACAGCCAAGGCTGTAAGGATGTACCAAGTACGCTATAGATAAAAGCAGTCATGCAAAATTCAGCTGCATTGAATTAATCTTGCTGGTGGGAGGATAATTCCTATTAATCACATCTATTACAGTAATACCTCAGGATAAGCGCAAGACAGGCAGACCACAAAATCAGGGAAACTCCCAGCCAGAAATAGTTTGCAATCTAAAAAGAGAAGCACGATAGGAAATTATGTACGATATGCTGGGTGGGCAATACAACAGTTGGTAACTTGATTATTTTTGAGAGTGGGAGGAATCTGAGTGGGACATATTATGTAGGGGAAGAAAAGCCAAATGGAAAAAGAAGTGGAAAGAAGCAAGTCTGAGCATAGCAGTTGACAGCAGGAGGAAGGGGAGGGAAATAGTAGCAATGGAGAACAGAATCTGTCAGGATATAGAAATTATTAGCGTTTCTCAACAAACAGTAAATATTCCAGCTTGTGGCAGAAAGAAAATTTTGTGATGAGAAAGAGGAGATGCTGAGTTAAATCAGAACACTGAATTTCTATATGAAATTAAATTTGAATATTCTTTTTTTGGGGGGGAGGGGGGGTGGGGTGTCAGTCTGAAATATTGTGCCCAGTCTGGTGGAAAACAAACAAACAAAAAAGGTGGTTATTTATAAGCTACATAAATGTTTTCTAAAGTGGGCATCTTCTGCATTGATTTGGGTCATCATTTAAATAAACTCCACCATTCCAAACCTACCTCTGTGAAATTTCATCTTCTTACTTCAGACACATTTCCCCACAGTTTCCACTGGTGAAATGAAAATTGGTGGCCACTTGTTTCTGCTCACCCCTTGTGCTGAGCTGCTTTAGGGAGCCGATGCGGCAGAAAAAATGTCCATATTTTGGTGAATCTTAGGGTTGGATTTTCTGCCCCTCCAAGCCAGCTCCCTGAAGATCAGATACTGATGGGAGAACAAGCCTTTTTTTCTCATGTTTTTCCATATGGATGTCTGGGTTACTACAAATAATAGTGTACAGATAAGATGCTTGGCTGACGGGATCCATGGTGCCTTTTTTTCCTTGGGTGCATCTAACTCAGAGACAAGTGATGGGCCCCAAGACATCAGAGAGCAGCAGCCAGACTCCTGCAAAGTCCCGCTTCCCTGGGATGCCAGCAGCTCCAGAGATCTGGAGGAAAACCTCCTGCAGGCCACCAACGTCTGGTGCTGGAGCTTTGGACTGGGCTCCTTTCTAATAATTGTGCAATCGTGGTAATTATACACAAAAAAAGTTAATTATTTAACATGTGTAACAAGGACCCTTCAGCTACTGAGCGAGGCACATGCTCAGTGCAATTATTCACAGGCATGTAATCTACTTCCCTTTGAATTGAATATTTCATTAGTTACTATTCTCATCTTCTCGGAGGTGCTTTGCAATGGTTCAGTGATTGGATTTACTCTAATTTCTTCTTGGCTTGTACAAACGCTGTCGCTACAAATATTCCTCTGTATTTTATCCCTTTAACAAGGAGGTTCTTGCCAACCTTCCCGTCGCCAAAGAGAACTCACCACAATGTGAACATCAGGAGCTTGAGGCAATTTTAGGTTTCTCCTTTGCCTTCAAGGTCCTTTGAGTGGGTCCCCATTTGTCCCGTGTCTGTACAGCTCTTGGCACTCTTGGCATTTTGGCCATCACAGGGTGCCTTAGCAGTGGTACAATGTGAATAACAAACAGCAGTAGTAAACAAGAGTCTCTGCAAGTGAAGGAGACTGGATATCCTAAAACATGTATTGATTTCAAAGTTCATAGAATCATAGAATCATAGACTCTTTAAGGTTGGAAAAGACCTCTAAGATCATCAAGTCCAACCGTCAACCCAACACCACCATGTCTACTAAACCATGTCCCAAAGTGCCATGTCTACATGTTTTTTGAGCACCTCCAGGGATGGTGACTCCACCACAGTTGATCCAGCCATGTCTGGAATCACTATTTACTCCTGCACAGAACAGGAGTCTGTATAGGAGGATTACTTATATAGGAAGAGGAGGAGGCGTATCATAGACTTCCATTTCCACTTTGAAATACTTGAATGACTTCTCCAAGCCCAAGGCAGTTTCCTTCTAAACTAGACCCAGCAAACCAGACCCTCTGGTTTTGGAGGGCTTTGGAGCTGGCATGCTCCATGGAAGCCGCCCAGGTCTCCCTACCTCTGATGAAGCAGCTGCCTTGAATAATTAATCTGGGAAAGAAGAGCGGGCTTCTGCTTAAAGTTAGCACTTGTGGAAAGTAAAGCAAATCCCAGCTCTAACTGTTAGAACATTTCAGCCTAACCCTGGAAGTATTTATTGGAGTGTGCTGGGCCAGTGCCTTGCTGGAACTGCAGTCTGGGTTCTTCATGCACTTAGCCATCTATAGGGGACAGGCCGTAGGGCTGGGCTACATCTCCCATCATGTTCTGAATACATCTTATGGACGTAGGGAGCTTCACCCAGAAAAGATGGGCATACAGAACAACCAGACCTGCTAATCTCGTGAACCAGCTACATTTCTCCTACAACATCAGCAGTTTGTACTTTACAATTTTTCGATGAAACATTTGTGGAAAATATGCTGAGAAGCAATACTAATTTGCCAGCAAGTTTTGGTGTCTTGTCCAGCATTTGCCCTAAATGGCAAATTGAACAAATCGAATGTTAACAGCCGCAGAAGAAGGTCTGAGATGTTCTTGGCTACAACACAACAACAAGGGGATCTGGCTGATGTCGCACAAGGCGTGCTTCACCTGGCGATATCTGGCAGGTCCTCTTGTTATTATGAATTCTTGACAGCGGTTAAGAATTTATGGTGCATTAAATCTTCCAAGGATATTTGAAAAGAAAATCTGAAATCCAGTACGATACTTCCATGAGCTATGGATGTGAATCTGATCTCTCTGTTGCCCACGTAAACTAGAGACACCATTGAAACCAGTGCTGTTTCACAGCTATGAATAAAGGGAGAATTGGACCCATTTTTCTTTCTCTGACTTTACTGAATATAAATCAAGGCACAGACATGCTAACTGCATTACACAGATCCTGGTGACAGTAACTTCTCAGTGTTTGAGAGACAAGAGAAATTGTCATTCAACTCTGATCATCAGCTTTATTGTATGCCAGCCAGACAATACACATTTCATGCAGACTATACGTTTGCTCCAGCTGCCGATTAGAAGAAAGTGCTCGACTTCATGTGCATTGGTCCTGCACTAAGGTACTTGGTTCTTGATCCGTAGCACCAGTGTTTTTTTCAGGAGTCCTGGAAGCAGAGAAAGAGCATCATTGCAAAGCTGTCAGAGCAATCAGCTGGTGCACAACAACAAAACACCACCCCTGAGTTGGAATTTGCCTTGTGACAAGTGGCTCTGCAGAGTGCTCCCCAAATGTCCCGCACATGTTTGGTATGTCCTCAGGTTGGTTGGTGAGCCTGGTCCTGGTCCCTACAATGAATTGGTCCAAAACCCATAGATGTCCACAAAATTGGGACAGTTGGAGCTCTTGACTTTTTGACCAGCCCCTGGTTCAACTGTGACCAGGATCAGGCCCACCCACCAGCTATGAAAAATGCTTGCCAATTGATTATAACCTGCATCGAACAAGCACCTCACTGTAAAATTGTCTCACAAAGAAGCAGTTTCACTCAAGGCGGATGGTGAAAGCCCTATAACACACGGGAGATGAGCTCCTGCGCTGCTCAGGAAGCACCCGGTGCCTGTTAAAACCACCAACAGGAAAGCAAGCCCCGCTAACACATGATTTGAGAGGACCTGTCCTCCTCAATGTTCCAAGGAGACACCAGGAGGTGATGGTGGCTCCAAGGTGTTGGATGCCTGTTAGGATCAGCTGCGGGGCCAGATCTGTACCTGGGGTAGTCTTGGATGGGAGCATAAGAAAACCAAGCCTGGGAGTTAGGGTAGATACTGTCAGGAGAAGCTCTGGACGGGTGCTGGAGGGAAGGTCAGGTCTTGTTGAAGTGCCGAGGGAGAGATGGGGAGGGAAAGACCTCTAGGGAATGAGGGAATCAATCTTCATTAGGAGAGAGGAAGAGAAGGACGATCTCCAGGGATGAGGACAGATGTGTGATGGATAGGGAGGGATCTGCGAGGCTGCAGAAAGTAGATGGAGAGGCAGGAGAAACCTGCTCAGCTTTAAAGTGGGCAACTTTGCACATCAGTTGCATTAAGGGACTGTGGAGATCTCCCTT